TATTTAAATCATCATTATTGCCATCTTTGCTTTACAGAAGAGGAGACTGAAGTTCAGAGCCCAAATGGCAGAGTCGCTATTTAAGTCGACCACGAAGAGTTTGGCAAACTTTTTCTGTAAAAGGGCCCGATAGCATATATTTTCAGCCTTGTGGTCCATACTTACCTCTGCTGCTGTAGTGTGAAAGCAGGCACAGACAGTACATAACTAAACAGGCATAGCTGTGTCCCAGTAAAACTTTAGGTACAAAACAGATGGTGGGTCACATTTGACTTAACAGGCTGCAGACTGCCAGCCCCTGATTTAGACCCTGATTTAAGATTGTATTGCCCGGATTAAATGAGTGACTGAACAAATGAATGGAGCAATGAATGATTGAATGACACCCTCTTTGGCACCAGCCCTCCCCTGCTTTTGTCTGCTCAGTTTTCTCATGAATATTCATGAGACTGCGAGAGAATCACATCGCTGCCTGAGGCGGGGGAAGCACCACAGTCACTCTTGATGGCTGAGTGAGGAGCACTTGGGGGCAAGCATTATAGGTGCAGTGTTTTGCTCCCGAGATGGGTCAGGTGAGCAATGTTCTTAGCTTCCCGAGTCTCTACTTGGATGGCTAAGGGATCCAGTTCTGTCTGTTTAGGGAACCTGTTACCTCTAGGATGAAATCCTAGCATTTCACACCAGGGCCTTCATGCTTTGTTCTGTTTTTAATTATGCAGTGTCATCATTTTCTCTCCTTTACCCCTTTAGCAACGCGGAGAGCTTGCAGGTTTGGGGACATGCAGGCTCTCTCTTTTAGATCTGTGTACATCCTGTCCTTTTTGCCTGGAAAACTCCTAACTGCCTCCCTTCAGTAGCCAGGCTCACTATAATTTGTTCTTTAGGACTCTGCCCGAATGCTATTTTTCGCTTGGAAGTTGTTCTAAACACTCCATGACAAGTGGTTGTCCTTGCTCTGTGCCCAGTAATCTCGTTTGTTCCAACAGTAGCTTTTATCGCTCTGCATAAGAATTGCTCTTTTGCTGGTCTTTCTCCTTCATACTGTGAGAGTTTTGAGGGCGAGTGCTATCTTACACTCATTATTTTAAGTCCAACATTCTATACAGTGCCTGGCACAGAAAAGTCCCTCTGTGAATGTTTGTTGAATGAATGAATGAATGAATGATGGACATCAGCTTTTTCTTAGGAGTGGCCGAGAGAAGCTTTTGTTTTCTTTCTTTGTCTTTCTTTCTTTCTTTCTTTCTTTCTTTCTTTCTTTCTTTCTTTCTTTCTTTCTTTCTTTCTTTCTTTCTTTCCTTTCTTTCTTTCTTTCTTCTCTCCTCTCTCTCTCTCTCTCTCTCTCCCTTCCTTCCTTCCTTCCTTCCATCCATCCATCCAAAGCTTTATTTCTGGTGTGATGTGTAAACCTTGTTCCTAACGTCTTGATATCTCAGGTCAGGGAGGGATGCCCTCTGGTCCTAGCTCAGCAGAGTGGGTAAATGATCACGTCCACTTCCAGCTGGGAAGCCATAAGTATAGTACTTGTCTCTCAAGAGTATTAACCACCCAGAAGAACAAAGTTTCTTAGAAAATCAGATTGGGTGGCTGGCTGTCGTCCGAGAGGTATACAAAGTCAGTGGTTATGCCTATGTGGGAAAATTTGACCACGGAGTCAAATTTTTATTTTAGGTTCACACATCATTTTTTCCACTTTTTAAGTTCTCTGAGGCTCACTTTCCTGATCTGTAAAACTGAGGTGAGAATATGTGTCCTGCAAGATTTCAGCAGTATGGGAAAGGGGTTAGAGATAATATGCCTAGCCCAGTGTCATCCAGTAGCTCTCAATTACACATGCATCTCTCCAGCCATTGAGTCTTATCATAACCCTTTGATAGTCATGTTAGGGAACCCCAGGGTCAGGATTGCTTATAAAAAACAAAGAGGCTCTCTTGAGTCAATTTCATGACGACACCAACTTGCATCTAATAGTAACAACTTTAGATGGAGATTGCACTGTTGAATTTTCCATCCCTGGTAAGGTTGAGGCAAACGTGTAAGGCTCTAAAGTTCCCATAATTATGTTTTAACATGTAGGTCTTGGCTGCTTGAAGACAAAACATGTGAACTCACGCATGTGCTCATGTGTGTGTACACACCACCTTCACCTCCAGGGAATTTCTCCATTTAATTTGTTTGCCAGTGTTCAGGAATGCATGAGACGTGAGAGGCTGATTACTAAGTCACGTGAGACTCTTCTTCAACACAGTAGCTCTGGGATAAGTGCTGGTGTTACTTCTCCTTCTTGATATTAAATTTACCCAGAACGTAGCCGATTGACTGAAGAGCTCACCATTTGAGAGGAGAGTGTTAGAACAAGGGTATTTCTTTTCTGGTGGCTAGCTGTGAGGCTGGGGAGGAAAGCCTTTCAGGTGCCTTCCATGGCTGCCAATTTCCCTAACGTCTTGGGTGCCACAAACTGATTTTCCTCTGCCAGCACATTTAGTTTACAAGATGATCCTCACTCAAAACACTGCGGTTACATTTATGAGAACATATGCAAAATTAAACCGCTGACCCAGGAGTCAAATAAAACTTCTCATTAATTATTGAGCTCGTTCTTTGCTTTTATTAAAGCAAACAAACCCTTTGTCCCTTAATTTTCCAAATAAATGCTCTTGCAACAAACACGAGCTTTCTGGGCCCAGAAGGGGGTGCAAGGAACAGAAGTGTGGTTGCCCAGTGAGAGCGAAGACATCCCTCTGCTTCTTGGACACAGGTTAGGGCTCTTGTGCCTGGCATCTGTGGCAGCACCTTGGGACCTTCTTTGGTAAATCAGAGCCCTAGATAAATTGGACATAAGGTCTCAGGATGACTTGGACTTCACCCAGGCAGGCCTCAGGTAGAACCTGCTCCATATGGTGACTTATGTTAGGCGGATAAAATGCCTTATTTGGCACCAACAGGAGCCTCCCTATTTCTGTATGAGCAGCACAGGTAAAGAACACATATGTCAGCCTACCTCTCTTATTTACCGTACCGTAGGGAAGAGAGAATGGAAATATAAAATGCATAGAATGTATTTAATAGACTATCCTGTCCACCAACCACACTAGTCACAGAACTTCTAACACATGGCAAAATCTCATCTTTGGCAAGGTTCTGTGTTTGTTATTATCAGCATCATTTATCAGTTGTGTAATGAGCTACTTGCGAGGCCCTGTGGCTGGGGCTATGGAGGACACCAAGAAAGAAGTATGAGACATAATCTTTGCTGGGGATGACATGTCACCATGACAGTGATCATAGCTGACTGGGAGTAGCCTCCAGGGAGGCAGGAATGAGAGAGGGAGCTCATTGGCCCCTTGAACTCAGATAATTTGAGACTTTGAAACATACCTCCAGGAATTGTTTTTATATAGAACATGCAACTCTTTTTAGAGAACTGGCTGAGGAAAGTGGCGGGGCTTTGGCCCTGGTGAGTCAGAGTCTCAAGCTCTTGATTATTCCTAATGCTGGGGAATGAAAACCAAATAAACAAATATCGACAGTGTAAGGCAGCTTATCACTATGAGTATGGGGTGCCCACGTGCGGGTCCCAGTAGGAACTTACATTCTGGTATTTGCTATTGGCTTCTGAAAGTTTATGCCTATTGGATAAGGGGTAGCCTGTTGCAAACCCTGCTTTGATTATGAGTCCTTCTCAAGATGTCTCAGGCCTTCTTTCCCTGCATTTAATTTTCCTTGGCATCTCCTACAGCTCTCATAGGAAGATGGGGACATTCAGATGCCTGTGGCAGCAGGGAACTGATGTGCTCAGCTATGGAGGGAGAGCTTTTTTCCAGTTTTTCTCCCCCTAGACCTAACTGAACTGACGACTTCCTCATTTGTGATTTCATTCTTTCTGTATCAGCACTTAGTTTTCTACTTTGTTGCACTGATGAGTTTAAACTTCTGTCTAGATTATCAACTTCTTGAGGTCAGGAACCACGTCTCTTTTCATGTCTGTATACCTATTGCCTAGCATAGTGTCAGGCCCAGGGACCTCCCCTCCAGCCCTGACCCAACATTCAATATCTGTGAATGAGAAATTCAGGAAGCCTTCCTAGGTTATGTCAAAGGACTCATTGGAACCTCATCCGCCCTGATAATTCTTGACAAGTGATTATTTCTACATAATGACATGCAGTTCAATATCAGCACAAACGGAGGGAAAAAGGAATTCAGTGGCTCTAAAATCATTATACGGTCTCAGAGTACACAGGGGATAGCCCTGCTTTACTTTCATAGTAAGCTAGATTAATGGTAATTAATGTCTATCTCCAGAATGCATTTCAGTTAATGGAAGAGGAAGCAAGTCTCAGGTGTGTTGGATAAGGGACTGAGTGGACTGTTGTGAACATTTCAACTGGAGATTTACACATGGTTGGAATTCTAGACTGTGTACACCTTGACAGAATACATGTTTATTATTTTCAGTATTTACTGACTGCCTAATGTATGCCAAATACTCTCTTGGCAGAATGTTTCCTGAATGAGCTCATAATTTATTTCAGGGATTTGGCTATGGATGTAATTTATTTTATTTTATTTTATTTTATTTTATTTTATTTTTTATTGAGGTATAGTCAGTTTACAATGTTGTGTCAATTTCTGGTATACAGCATAATGTTTCAGTCATACATACACATACATATATTCCTTTTCATGTTCTTTTTCATTATAGGTTACTACAAGATAATAAATGTAGTTCCCTGTGCTATACAGAAGAAATTTGTTTATTTTATATATAGTAGTTAATATTTACAAATCTTGAACTCCTAATTTATCCTTTCCAACCCCTTTCCCCCTTCCCGCATAACCACAAGTTTGTTTTCTATGTCTGTGAGTCTATTAATGTAATTTAATGTGATTGGACAGAAAAATGACTCCATGAATCAAACTGATATATTTGTAAATTAAAATATATGAATCAGGATTTATGTTTCTATAGTACATTTATTATAATAAATATTAGAAGCCTAGTGCTCGCTTCGGCAGCCCATATACTAAAGTTAAAATGATACGTTGAAGATTAGCATGGTCCTGGTGCAAAGATGACATGTAAATTTGTGAAGTGTTCCATAGTTTTAAAAAATATATTAGAAGTCTACATCAAGGCTACATTAAATTAATGAATATTTTAGTAAACAAAAGGTCATTTACAAAATTCACTTTCAAGTTATTTAGCCTATAGGATTTGTCCTAAGTCTACCCGTAACTTGAGAACATATTTACTGTGTAGGCTGAGTTATCTTTGGAATTTGACTGCTTTGTAAAATGATTATCTAGTAATTGAAATAGTGCAGAACTTCCTTTACATTTCTGCTAAGGTAGTACAGAGTGATCCTTTTCTTTGCTTTTCTTCTATTAATACTGCAAAATCTTTTTTAACAAGAGAAGTTGGTTGCATTTCCAGCTGTAAAACAGGTAAAGAACTTTCAGTGAAAAACAAAATTCTCTTCTCTTTAATTGACCAGAAGGAGGCTCCCTTCCACCTCACTGTATAAAGCTGGACTAAAAGCTTCTAAACGTACTTCTTTGCAAGTGGTTCTAATATTCCCCAAGCCATTGTTGATGGCAGGGGCAGCACTGTGAAATTTTCCCTGGAGGAACAGAGTTTAAATTTGCATCATGGATAATAAATAAGTATAAAGTGTCCTTTCCTCCCAGCAGCTCAGTCATAGATTTCTTTTCTAGCTGAATAACAATTAATAAAAATGTTAGGATAAAATTGTCTTCACTAACTTGGGCTGTCTCAGCATTTCTTAGCTTAATTCTTGCGGCTTTGTTTTATCATGATTGTCCTTAACTATCCAGCACAGTATTTTAAAAATTAATTATTTGAGATGAATCAGTAAGGCATTTGGATTTTTAAAAATATAGCGGAACCTCTACCTACATATCCCTCTTACTTTCTGTGTATCTGTAAGTAAGAGACTTTTCTCATGTTAATAACATAGGATAATCACATTCACCCCAAATGCTCAAATTGCATTGCTCTTATCAATGAAGAAGCCACTAGCAGATTCAGAATATTGAACAAAATGTCCAATATCTTTGGAGGATTCAGAGGGGTGTGAAGATGCAACCACCACTGTAGGTACACAGTTTGCCATATGATGTCATGAGATCATTTTGAATCGCTTGATTTTTGAGTTATTATTCTCCAGTGTTAAGGGAAGAGAGTTTATTTGGTTATTTCAAAAAATAGTATTGTTGCTCTTTTGAGAAGCCTTGCCCTTTAACGATGGAGCAGAGCTGGTTATGAAATACCCAACTGTGACTAATTTTGGAGGAGTAACATCTCACATAAATTGTCTCCTGGAGATGCTGTTGGAGCCAGTGAACAGCGGATGATGATGAGTTTATCTGTGCTAATTGTGCCTTTGAGGGCTCATTCCTAGACAGGGGTACAGAGTAGATCAATGCTGCACTTCTGACCTCTCTTCAGCATAAAGATTCTGGTTGTGGAAAACTGTGGTAAGCAGAATAATTTCCCTGAAGATGTCCATGCCCTAATCTCTGGAGTTTGATCATATATTTTGTTATATGGCACAAGGAGCTTTGCAGAGGTAATTCAGGTTATAGGAATTAAGATAAGGAGATTCTGGTGGGTGGGTCCAGTTGAATCACAAGATATCTTAAAAACAGAACTTTCTCCAGCTAGAGGAAGATGCGGTGGAAAGACAAGTCAGAGAATCCCAAGTGTGAGAAGGATTCGATGCACTATTGGTCATTCTGAGATCTAAGGGATCACATGTGAGGACTGAAGAGAAGCTTTCAGGACCATTCCTGGTCGACAACCTGTAGAGAAACAGGGATCTTAGTCTTACAACCCCGAGGAATTGAACTCAGCCAACAACATGAATTAGCTTGGAAACTGGATTCTTCTCTGAGTAAGGAGTCCAGCCCTGCCAACACTGGTTTTAGTTTAGTAAAACCCATGTGAGACTTACGCCACACAGTGACTGAGATAATAAATTTGTGTTATTGTAAGTCACTGAGTTGGTGGTAATTTGTTACAGTGGCAACAGAAAACTAAATCACAGAAAATATTTTGAAGGAAATGGTATGGGTATTGGATTGTTACTTTGGTGGTGAACTGTCACAATGAATCATGCCTTCATGAATTTACTCCAATGACCCTGGCCTTTAGCCATGGGATATTAACAAATGGAATAAAAACAGAGGCTTGACAAATGTATTTGTTTCCTATTGCCATTTTAACAAATTACACAAATTTGTTGACTTAAAACAAAATGAACTTACTATCTTTTAATTCTTTAGGTCAGAAGTCTCACTGGGCTAAAAATCAAGATGTTAACAGGACCACATTCCTTCCAGAGGCTCTAGGGGAGAGTCTTATCTCCTTGCCTTGTCCAGTGTTAGAGGCCACCTGCATTCCTTGGCCCGCGGCCCCTTCCTTCATTTTTGAAGCCATCAGTATAACATTTTCAAATTTCTCTTACTCTGGTGTCCTTCTTGTAAGAACTCTTGTCATTACATTAGGGCCTTTTGAATAATCCAAGCTAATCTTCCCACTTCACTAATTTAATCACGCCTGCACAGTCCCTTTTGATAACATATGCACAGGTTTAAGGTTAGAGCATGGGTATCTTTCTGGGGGTCTTTATGCTATCTACCTCAAGAACGTTTCCATGGTGGGCTTATATTCCTGAAATGTTTGCTCTTTGAATTCCTCTTCTTGAAACCCAATTGCTTTACTGTGAGGAAGTCCAGGCAACCCTGTAGAGAGGTCTCCATGGAGAAGAATCAACGCCTCTGGCCAACACTCCCATCTGAGCTCCCAGCAAGCAGCCAACACCATCTTCCTGCCATGTGAGTTAGGTCACTATAGCCCTTCCAGCTAACCCGGTGCCCCAGCCATCACCACGGAGGCAGAACTGCCCGGTCAGCCCACAGAATCATGAAGAATAATCAATGGGGGCTGTTATTGTAAGCCCCTGAAGTTTTGAGGGTGGTGTGCTGTACAGTGGTGGGTAATTGCAATAATGTTGTAGTCTCTTTTATAACTACCTAACTACCTGAGATTGAAGGATTCTGACCAGAAGAAGGTGGGTTCTTCTGTCCAGTATTCAAACGAAATACATGACATCGGTCAAAGTACATGAAGTCCTTAGTGCAGTTCCTGGCACATAGTAGATGTTGTAAAGGTATTGATTAGCTTTACCCAAGGAATCTTTCTGCTGCCGACATTTCCATTTGCCTCCCTGCTGCAAAAGTAGATTACTCTCTGTTAGAGATGTATTTAATTTACCATATAGCAAAATATAATATGTTATCTGATGATTTTGCTTGATGGACCATGACTTAAAATCATAAAGTCTTAACCTGAATGATGTCTATATTTCCAAAAATACCATTTCTCAGAAATTACATCAGAAGTAAATTTTTGAATATGATTCAAGAGTCTTACAGTTCATATTGTTTAATTGCACTGTCACACAGGAACCTTAGAATTCTTCTTAGTTTGTTCAATTGCTGTAAATGACTCTGAAAGTAATATAATTATAACTCGTAATGGTAAATGCATTCATAGAATTCATGGAGCAAGCTGAATATGTAACTGTTCATTTGAAGTTGAGCTGATTAGCATCTGAAAACAGTTAATGGAGGAGCTGATTAGAATACATTGTAAAGAGTCATGATTTAATTTTACATCACCTAGAAAAATCTGATGCCATGCGTGTTAAAGGCAGTTTTGAGGGGCGTAAGGATTGACGTGTTTTCCTGAGCTAAGTGGGATGGCCGCGCTGACTCAGTGAAAAACTCACATTTCAAAAGAGCATGAAGTAAGTAATACAATACAACCTTATGCGATTAAATTCACCACCTGAGTATTAAAAATGTGAGTGAGGTTTATAGGTAAACCTTAAGCTCATTTAAAGCACTGCACTGTGAGATTTGGGCAGAAATCCAGCTCAGCAGAGGCTTTCAAATTTTCCTAGCAAACTACTTGAATGAGTTATGTTCACTTTGTGTTCAACCTGCTTTTCTTCCTCCCCACCTTGGAACCTCCACTCTGAAGCTAGAGAGATTTTTTTTTTAAACTCACAAGTCTGTCATGTCATTCCCCTGCTTAAAGCTCTTTTATGGTTCCCTGTTGCCTCTACATAAAGCCTTAGCTCAGCATATAGGGGTCTGTTTGATCCACCACTGCTGATCCTGGAGTCTTATCTCCTAACAGTTTTTTTTTTTCACTTTCTATGGCTCCATCCCTGGAGAAGAACGTGTAATTCCTTAACCTCTTTTTTCTCTAGGCACGTGGTCTAGCTATTTCTGGCACGTCTGTAAAATCTTAAGTGGCACTTCGTCTGGGAAGACCTTCCTAACCCTCTTCCCCAGGTAGCCTGAGAGCATCTCCATGTGCACCTGTAGTGCCCGTTGGACTCATGTGATGGCACTGATCAAGCTGTGTCACAATTTCTTTTTCAATTGTCACCTTCCCTCAATCGAGCATAAGTGCCCTGCAGGGAGTCCTGTGTCAGGTTCATAATGAAATCAAATGCCAGGTCCAGTGCCTGGCACATAGAGGGACTCGATACAGATTTGCTGAACTAACAATGGATGTATTTGTTCAAAGTAAGCAAAATATAAAACAATCATGGTCAGTGCCCAGCGTTTAGTAGGCACTGGGTATTTGTTTACTCACTCACCCCTCACTGTGGATAAACACTGCAGGATTCATCATTAGTCTTTTGCCATTTCCCACTGGTTTACCATGTGTTATTTACAAAGGAGTAAGCTGTTTGACTGTATGGTAACATCTTATAGAGCAAATTTCTTGGAATGCAATAGGCTGGGTCTTTAAAACTGAAACCATAGCTTCTCATTTCTGGACCTTGGCATCTTGCGACCTTTAACATGCTCCCTTTCTGGTCTGGCTGGTTCCTTTCCATTTAGCTCTCAGCTCAAATGGTTTCTCCTTAGAGAGCCTTTCTTGACCACCTACTGCACAGTCCTCCCCTTCTCCTGTCTCTGGTTGGCGATCTCTGCTAACACATCGAGTGCATGTAGTATTTTCCGTTATACTCACCACTACACCAACGTATCCCACTTATGTGTTCC